CCCCCCCCCCCCCCACGCTAATGGCCAATCGGCCCCCGTCTCGAAAAACTTCCCCCCAAAAGCCACGTGCCCACGCTAAAGGAGAAAAGACGGACATTCATCTCATCAGCGGTGCAATTATTGAGATTAGAGGCATGCGTGATTACAAAAAAAAAAAAAAAAAAAACATTGTGAAAGTGATTAGGTTTCATCAGGAGTCGACTTCTCGCTTGCTTACCAATCCGGGCTTGGTTGAGAGGAACGGCGACGGGGCAACAGGAGACGGGACAAAAACAAACAAACAGACATTAGGACCCTGGCATGTTCTGAGCGATGTGCCGCCATCACGCGCAGCTGCTCCTACGCGTCATTTCGGGTTATTTACGTAGCTGGACTTCTGAACCCCCTCTGAAAGCCACCATTGCTCCCAGTCTGACCAGTTCTAGAAGCAATGGCTATAAAGCCAGACTGTTTGCTAAACACCTGTTTGAGCAGGGGACAGGCTGAGGAAAGTTAGGACTTTGGGGGTAAATGAGACCTAAAGATCAACACGAGGATTCTATATTTTGGCTCTTTTGCTAAATAATCTGGATAGGGGGAAAAAAAACACTTCTAAGATGTATGTAGACCTTATGTGACTTTCTGCTAACCTAAAAAAGAAACATTTTTACCTTTTTTAATACTTTTTTCCCTTTTCCCTTTTGGGAGACATTCTGAAAAGTAGCTTACACAGGGGGAGAACAGATCTGGGTATATAATACCAACAGTTTAGAGTAGATGTCTGAGCAGTGCATCAGTATGGATTGGGAGGAGGCTCCTATCATTACTCCTGCCTTGAAATACTCCGGTGACAAACCCTTACCCTTTTCTTTTAAGAGACCAGACACCTCCATGGGCGGAGTGTGTGCACACTGAGCACAAAAACGGGGGCGTGAATGGGCTTTAAGAGCTCCAAAACTCCCTGAAATGCTGATTTTTTTTTTTTCGCCGCTTCCGTGCCGCTCGGGGGAGGGCGGGAACTGGCGTGGCCGAACGTGAACCGTTCCCTCCTGTTAAAGCAGCCAATGAAACACCTCTCTGAGCGGGGACAAACACATTCCACAGTCCAGATAAGACATGCCCCGCAGGGCGTGTCCCACCTGAGAAAAAACGGGGCCTGTTGTTTCAGAGCGGAAATGTCGGCCCGTGGGGAGCTCGGACCTGTAAAACTAAAGCCGGTAAACTGGCGGGAGCGTTACCTGCGTCCTCCTGTACTCCATCAGCTGCGAGAGCCCCAGCGCCACGGCCACCGTCCCGCCCCCCACCATCGCCGTCCGCCTCAGAGCCTTTCTGAACGCCATCGTCTCTGCGGAGGAGAAAACGGTTGAAAGCGGGAGCCGGGAACAAGGGGGGGGTGTTATATAGCTCTGGCCTGACAGGTGATCATGTGAAGGAGGCATGCAACAAGCAAGGGAGTGAGTGCAGAGGGGGGAGGGAGGGGGTGTGAAAGTATGCCAGTCAGCCTGACAGAGACAGGGGGGATAAAAGTTAACCCGGGCCGGCTGCTGGTTAGAACTAACTCCAAAGGCCTCCGAAAACCAGCACATCTTCCAGACTAACTGCAGCTTTATGAGGTCATTTAACTCCACTTTTGCTAAAGCAACAGGTCAAAGACCTGTGATTGTTCTGACTTGGATCTGGGCCGTGCCACAGCTCGCTCCTGTCCCCCTTATTTGTGGATCGAGGTCCCGATTATTCTCAAAAGCGACTTATGCAGTGAAAGAAAGCACACAAAAAGCCTCTCCCGAATCCAAGATTACAACTACAAAGTGCTTTAAAGAATATCATTTAGTTTTTATATCACAAACGACAAGCCATCGGCCACTCTCTCCAATCAATAAACCCAAACAAGGCAGCCTTCATCTGGTCTCTATGAGCTAAAAAAATAATAAAAAGGACAAAAATGACTTTTTTTTTTTTTTTTTAAAGGCAGAGAGTAGCAATTTGTCTCACGCTAAGGTTATCTGAAAGGGGGTGCAAAAGTAGTTTTTAACTCATCAAAACACAGAAAAAATAAAAAAGTGAAGGCATAATCCAGGTGGGCTGGCAGAGATGGAACAGTATGCCAAGTTCTTTTAGTCGCACAAAGCCAATATTTGTCATCTTCTGCGTTAAAAATGGGTCATTTTTTTTGGACGAGAAAACTGAAGTTTTGCAGACAAATATCTGGACCAGCATTTTTTTATATGGCTTTTAAAAACAAGGAAGAAAGATTAGAATTGAAGTAAAATGTTTCACCATTTCAGATGGTTTTTGTCGCATATGTCGTGGTTACTTTTTTCCATTTGTGTTTTTTGGCCAGATGAACCCATGCAAGTTTGGACACACTGAAAAGCGGCTGTTAGTGGACAATAGCAACAAATGAAAGCAGTTCTGTGCTATAAAGGTAGCACAGAACTGTGTCACGTTTTCCTGATGGTGTGCACACTCATTGTGAGTCACCAGAGGAGTGGGGGCTTCCTCTGAACTGCCGCATGGCGAACTCCATTGAAATAGTCGCTATTTTAACAAATTAATTTCAAATTAGCCATTTCCCCTGCGAGTTACTTCTGAAGTCTCTTGGTGAAAACAGGTGTTTGATTTAGAAAAACAATACCGCGTTATATTACACTGTTATAGTGGTCAATTATCCTCAAATGAGAGAGGAAGTAGATGTTCTCCTTTACCGTCGCGCTGCGGTGGATTAAGGAAGATGGAAGCTCGGTTTGTGGGGAAAGCGATGTCTTAATAGTGAAGTATATTCAGCATACGTTGTAATAGAGACGAATTACACTCAGGGAGGGGAGAAACTCCCCTCCACGCTTGAGCATCGTGACCGCCTGTAAATGGCAACAGGAGACGCCGTCTATCGGTGTCAAAACAACCGCTTGTTTTGGCTATCTGCCAGGCAACACGAGCTAAACCAGAGATTAAAGCGTTTACATCACGTTTAAAAAAAAAAAAAAAAACTGAACACAACTGGTGACACAATAGACATTCCCACTTACAGGATTTCTCGTTGTGTTGCTGAGTGAAAATTCGCTCGGGGCGATGGAGGCTGCCAACTGATGGCATCTGCCGTTTAATGAACCGAAGCCCGGTTGACAGCTACGGCTCAACCAGGAAGCGTAGCGCGCGGTTGAGCGACGTCCCTCGCAGCCAATAGCAGCGCACGCTCACGTCGACGTAGGCCAATAGGGTTCGGCGTTGGGCGGTGCGCGGGGGTTGACGTAAGGGTGAAGGGAAAGTATGCGCAGCTCGCCCACTTCCTCCAGAGGAGATGAGAAGGGCCGCCAGCTGTCATTTTCCGGACTGTTTGACCACTGAAGGCACGCAGGGAATCGGAATCCCCTCTGTAAACAGATCACATGACATTAGGTTGTATTTACTCTGGTTGTTAAAGGATTTAATGGTTTTCAAACTTCTAAACGCTGAAAACGTGCTTTAGATAATCGACGAAAAACCAAACGGGCCTGTGGAAAAACGCAGGGTTCCAAAAGTCCACAAGGTCAAATAACACAGCCAAATCTAGAAGAAAACATTAACAAATTGTTGAGAAAAATCTCAGTGATACAAAAACGTTTAAAAGAAAAAAAAAATGGACCTAATAAAAAGTATGTGAAGAAGTTTAAATGTCTGGGAGCATAATGGAGAACAGCAAAGCCCCACACACAACTTGACCTTCAGAGGATCCATGTTCCTCTTCATAATTGTTAGGTGGCTATCAAGAAGTCCTTTTAAAGGGAAACAAAATAGAAAGAAATGGGTGGAGACCCTTACAATCTGTGGCAACAGGTCTCATGGAGCGATTCATCAGAATTTATTGGGAGACAAAGGTTGTGAAGATGTGACGTAGAAATCTCTTCTTAATCATAGTTTTTGTGTCTATTTAGAAAAGCTATTGTTGAAATCATCAGGTCGCCAATGTGAAAATGTAGAAGCACCATAACAAGAACGACGTGAACTACATCAAAGTGCAGAATATGTCACAAAAATGCCTTTTTTTCCTACAGTTCATGGAGTAAAGCATATATTTCAATTTATTAATAGATTGCTTTATCCTAATCCTTGTTTTACAACACCATTTTATGATACAGTGGTATTGTGGTATTGTAGATCTTATAAAAAAAGTAATGCAATGATTATAAAAACACACAGTGGAACGTTTCCAATCATACGCCAAGAGCCTGTTTTCTTATTTCTATATGCAATCCTTTTGTCAAAGAATAGAGCAAAAGGCTGTTAAAGTTAAAAAGGAGGCTTTGATATATCCCACACTGTTTATGAAGGCTAAAGTATTCGTTTTTATGAAAATTTGTGCTGTGTTGAACAAAATGGATGGTAATAACAGGTTTTAGGCTCCTTATAATTGCATTTAGTTCCCTTTTGCATTCAAAATCTAAATTCAATCTTTGCAAATATCTTTAAACGTGGTAGCACCTAATTCCCTGAGATGTAAATGTTTTGGGAAGTTTAATCTGGAGGGGGGTGTTTCATCATCATCATCAAATGTGGAGGAGCAGCAAATAATGTGTGGTACAGTTTCTGAATGGAATAAACCGCGTTCTGCGTCCACGCTGGTCAACACCCCCACACACCCCACCCTCACCCTCACCCTCACTCTCCACACGAGCACACTCCCACGCAGACACGCTTATGCGTAATGGTGTTTGGCACAGGGGTGCGTATGCGCGTAAACAAAAGCACATTGTCGGCGTCTCCGGCTGCAGTCTGCCAGCAGTGAAGCCAGCAGTCGCCTTCCGCCGGTGTCTGCAGACGGACAGAGGACTCCCCCCCCCCCACCGGTCACAGCCACAGCTTCAGCCGAGATGGGATTCCCTTTCACCTCCACACGCTGGATGCGCGCTTAAGGTACCGCAATTTCTACCATTTTCTGCCAATTCACTAAAAAAAATGCATGCGTAAAGACCGTAAATGTCCCTGTTCTTGCTCCACTTCAGGCAAAGTGGCAAATGATCGTGGGAAACACGATCCATCCCGATGCATTCCACTTTTGTCTGCGCGTAAGGAGTCGTTTCAACAAGTGGACATTTCAGCCAAACCGAAACCGGTGCGCAAAGATCTTTCCAATTGGACTTTTACGCTGTCCGTAAGATCATTTAAGTTTGACAGCAACGCCTGTTATTAGGAAAAACCAGCTTTAGTGTATTTATTATGTGCCATAACTCTGTTAGGCTGGTCTTTTATATTTCACATGAGTCCGGGTGTGTCTGTGTTTTGCAGCGGGGATGCCGTGCGTCCAGACCCAGTGCGGCTCCTCTCCGCAGGGAGCCAGCCCGGCCTGCCAGGGCTCCGGGGGTGGCGGCGGGGGGGGGGAGCGCAGCTGCGACTTCCTCACGCCGGAGTTCGTCAAGTTCAGCATGGACCTGACGAACAGCGAGGTGTCCGCCGCCACGTCCGGCCCCAGCTTCGGCCCCAGCTTCGCGGACGGCTTTGGCTACGACTCCAAACCGCCGCCGTGTCTGTTCCAGATGCCGCTCCAGGGGGAGCCCGGACCGTGCGTAAAGGCGGAGGACGCGCGCGGGTGCCCGCGTTACGCGCCCGCGCAGCAGCAGCAGCAGCAGCAGCCCCCGGACGAGCTCCTGTCCCCCCCCGGCTCCCTCTACTACTACCACCACCACCATCACCACCACCACCATCGCTCCCCTTCGCCGCGCGCCTCCATCACAACAAACTTCCAGACCCCGGCGGGTCACGTGTGGGAGGACTCCGGCCACCTGTACGGTTTCCGCCAGGACTATTTGGCAGCGGCGGCGCACAGGAAAAACGCGCTCTCCAGGTTTTCCCTCTTTTCCCTGAAGCCTGGGAGCCAGAGCCTGTCCGCGTGCCAGATGAAATTCGACGGATCCGTGAATCTGGACGCGCACCAGCCGCTGGACAGTTCCTCCGTGCTGGGCTCCCCGCCCGGCCTCCAGGGGCGGACAGAGGGGTTCCCCCACCCGCTCCACCTCGCCCACGGACACCACTTCGTGGAGTTCCAGACCCCCCCCGGGGGCGACAGGGGCCCGCTGAGCTCCGAGGGGCTGTGCGCGGTGTGCGGGGATAACGCCGCGTGCCAGCACTACGGCGTGCGCACGTGCGAGGGCTGCAAGGGCTTCTTCAAGGTTTGTCTTTAACGAGACCGTTTGCAGGTAGAGTCAGAGCAAAAATAAGAAAAAAAAAAGAAAAAAACTAAGCGAGGACTTTAAAGTTTTGATCCCTATTGATTTCTTTATTTTCTTCTAAAAAGGCTCGACACGATTCATAAAGTATTGGCATGCTCGGATATGATTCAATCCTAATTTCAAATGATAAAGAGACTATTAGAGAAAAAAACTAAGTCCCTCCGGGGCTCCAACTGGTCCTCTGAATTGGACATTACGCTCCAGGAGCACGTTCTGACCTCTTGCCGGTGCGTTTTAGGGGCAAATGTCCTGTATAAAAACTGACCGCCCGCGTGCCATGAATTAAAAACTCCCCCTTTCATTCCCGACATGGAGCCTCCCTGAGGCCACATGGCAATTTATGAATGACCACGACCCTCTGTTTGCCCAGACCGCCCTGTCCCTTTGCTGGACGCCCTGCACCGGCTCAGATGGGCCCACAGGAACAAAAGGGCTGCTTCTAATTTTAAAAGGGCAATTTAAGCCTTTTGTTACAAACCCCCTAATAGATATCCCCCCCCTACACACACACACACACACCAACCAATATATATACACACACAAATTCACCCTAAAAGAGTTTGTTTAAATTGAACTATTTGAAACACGAAACTTTTGGCTCCTTTTTGTTTTATGACAGGCAGGATATTTGATTTATTTTTTTTAATCATCTTCTCGAGCTCTTGAGTAGTCGGTCTGCTGGATAGTATCTATTTCTTCCCTCTCTCCCCGCAGCGCACGGTGCAGAAGAACGCCAAATACGTGTGTCTGGCGGCCAAAAGCTGCCCGGTGGACAAGCGCCGCAGGAACCGCTGCCAGTACTGCCGCTTCCAGAAGTGTCTGACCGTGGGGATGGTCAAAGAAGGTAATCCTCCACGGCCCCCCCCCCGGGGGGTCAGAGAAACCCCCCCCCCCCCCCCCACACACACACAGACTTCTTCTCTGCTGTGCTCCGCAGTGGTCAGGACGGACGGCCTGAAGGGCAGAAGGGGCCGGCTGCCGTCCAAACCCCGCGGTCTGTCGGACCTGTCGCTGCCCAGCGGCTCCCTGCTCGGCGCGCTGGTCAGGGCGCACGTGGATTCCAACCCTCCACCGTCTCGCCTCGACTACTCCAATGTAAGCAAAGAGGCCTGCTTAGATAAGCTGGTAGGGGTGTGTGTGATAAATTAAAGCTGTATTCGGTGGTGTTCCTCTTGAGTCCAACCTGGGCCCTCTTGACCGTTGGCTGGTATAGTTTAAGGAGAGCCCGGGCAGTCCGGTCCGAGACGACGCCCAGCACGTCCGGCAGTTTTACGACCTGCTGACCAGGTCCATGGAGGTCATCCGCGGCTGGGCCCAGAGGGTCCCGGGCTTCGCCTCCCTGCCCAAACACGACCAAGACCTGCTTTTTTTCTCCGCTTTCCTGGAGCTTTTTGTACTGCGGCTATCTTACAGGTGAAGAACACCCCCCCTGTCATTTCAAGGCTTGCCTTTCAGTTTAGGACCGGCTCTTTCATGCTCAGCAGAAAACTCTCCCGGTGTTTCAGGTCCCACCCGGAGCAGGGGCGGCTGGTGTTCTGCGACGGCTCGGTGTGGCACCGGCTGCAGTGCCTGCGGGGCTTCGGGGAGTGGATCGACAGCATCGTGGAGTTCTCCGGAAACCTGCAGCGGATGAACCTCGACGTCTCCACTTTCTCCTGCATATGCACCCTCGCATTGGTCACTGGTAAGAAAAAAGGGGGGGGAAAAACGTTTATGTCCTGAAATTAGAGGCCTGTTTATTTGAAATCCTCCACCCTGGAGCTTTTGCTTCAGTTTTGGAAATGTTGTTGTAGGCAGAATTGTTTTAAGTGCTGCTTCCAAAAAAGAAAAAGAATAAGGAAGGAATAAGGCCTTGCCTGGAATATTTATCCAAGTTAAAAATGACGCTGAATGATGGGCACAAATCTCCCTTGTAAGGTGAGATCAGACATCAGAACGGGAGCCTTATCATATTTACTTCTCTGCAAAAAACTATACGAAAACCATATAAATAAAAACAAAATATATTAAATAATAGGCCAGAATTACAAATACTAAATCTTTAACAGGAGAGAAATCGTTGACATGAGGAGTTTAAAGTTTGATTACATGGAGGAGGGCTGAAATGAACCAGGCTAATTTATTTTGATCAGACAATGCAGGAGATAAATGATTTACAGAATTACACATTCACTGAAAAATGGGCACATGAAGGATCTGAGTTGGTGACTTTTAGAACTGCAGATTCTCAGCACTTACTGTTCGTAAGTGGATTAAATGATAAGATAAAGTTTAAACTGCCGTTAAAGACCGACAGAAGTCTGGTCCACAGCGGATAGTCACACACATTGGAGCCTGATCTTAACCTAAACCTGCTCAGTGTGTGTTTTTAGTTCAAATAAAGACTGAGGATCTCTGTGTGACGCTGCCATTTTCCAAAAACGCCCGCAGAGCGCCACGGCCTGAAGGAGCCCAAGCGCGTCCAGGAGCTCCAGAACAACGTGGTCAAGTGCTTGAAAGACGACGGAACGGCCGGCCTGGACAGGAGAGACTCGGGCCGCTGGCCGAACCACCTGTCCAGGCTCCTGGAGAAGCTTCCGGAACTCCGCACCCTGTGCATCCAGGGCCTGCAGAGGATTTTCTACCTGAAGCTGGAGGACCTGGTCCCTCCGCCCGCCGTCATAGATAAGTTATTCCTGGACACTCTGCCGTTTTAAAGACTAAAGGACCCAAATTGTAAAATGCCAATCTTCACAGTGTGACTTGAGCTGACATTCAGGCAGAAATTACAAAAAAAAAAAAAAGAAAAAAAGAAATCCATGTTTTGGCAGCTGTTGTGCACATCTGCCTGCGGCCACATCTGTATGAAAACATTTTGATACAACACAAGTGCATTTTTCATGTTAAGACTGGTTTTAATATATTGTGTTCAGAAAGTGATCGCTATTAGTAGCTAGACCCCCCCGGCCTTGTCCCCAAAGTAAATTGTCATTGTCCCAGTTTTAATAAATGAAGAAGTTAACATTACATTAAGTTTCCTTTCTTGGACCATCTCTCATGATTATTTGTAATTTTGTTAATAATCATTTCCCCAAATATTAGGATTTTTATAATTATCTAAAGCTGGCCAAAGTGTAATTTAGATCAGTTTCGAAATGTGCAAAAATCTCCCGATATAATTAAATGTTACAGTATTCAAAAGTACAATATGATGGTGCTAAAAATCAACTTTAAACTGATTCATTTTTTGGCATTTGGCAGAAAACTTTCTTTAGAATATGTCAATTTGATTGTTTCCTTGCATCATGCGGTAGCAATGAAATGACCAAAAGCAACAGGAATAGCCTATTTTCCCCTCTTTTTATGTATATGGATTTGAAAAAAGGCAGATTTAGAGAGCGCAAACAATAATATGAGTTTGCTCAAAGTGATCTGCAGCACAAGACGCACTGAATAATTTGACATGAAAAGAAAAAAAAGGCCCTTTCTCTGTCTGTTTCTGTCTTTGTTGCTTTCCTTTATGTCTTTTTCATCCGGTGGCCGAATAAAAAGACATTTTATCAGCCTGACATTTCACCAGCCCTGTGGTCAGACGTGGCATAAAAGAAATCAGCCGCTTCCGGCAGTTTTTAGTTGGTCAAAAATAAACTAATTATCTTCCGTCCATGTACAGCTTATTCAGCTTTCTGCTTATTCGGTGGAATTGTGTTTGTGTAATTACGCCGATGATAATCTTTGCACTACTGATAAAAGGCCAGCTCTATTTCCGCCCGGTGAGGAGATGAAGACCGTTAACCGAAATGGTCCCGGCTGACCGGTGGCCCTTCCTTACCTTCTCTCCCACATGGAGGAAAATTGGAACTCGTCATTGAAGGAAAGATATTCTCTCGGACAAAACAAAAACAGGGAGATGTTCCTGAGGAGGTTGCAGTGGCTCCGCTGATCAATACTCTGTTCAGTATTGTGATGTGGCAGCGTGAGATAGAGATGAATCGATAATGCAATCTGAAAAACGTCCGGTTCATCCCCGAGATGATGGTGACTGACAGGTGAACTCACTACACGCGTTATCAGGCAGTTGAACAGCAGAACTCGGCTTTTTCAGTTTTAATTTCATAAAAACAAAGACAGAGCGGTCCTCGTTGGAGAGGACTGAAGACACGATAGCCTGTAGGAAGTTTGTCCTCACACAGTCTACACTGATTTGGGGAAAGCCCTGAGCTCCAGGCCCTGCGATTTAAACCAGTTTTACCACCTTTTGCAGGAATAAACCCAGACGGCCGATTACTGGAGAGGCTCATTACCAAACTTTTTCTTCAATTTCACCACAAACACCAACATGTTCTCTGTGAGCGGTTTCTCAGCCCCTTTCAAAGTCACAAGCTGAATTAAGCTCGGCCCTGATTCCTGTTCTTCGTCTTTTCGTCCGCACAATGCCTTCAGACCCGTGCAAAATGGCCTCCTCAGCTTTTTATGGGACCAAAAAAAGCAAAGAAAATCTCACAGACCCTTTTCTGAGAGGGAAATAATGCTCAAAGTCCTCCGTACTTGCAGCAGTGCAGCAAATATAAGACCTTTTATTAATGTTTCACATGGAATGATCTTTTTGTAGCTATAATGTGGAGGTATTTTATTAAAAAGGCGACTACGGGCCTAAGTTGAAATCTCGATTCTGTATTTTGATGCAGACGTTATTTTCCACCGAGAAGTGGGTGAAAACACCCGCAGCTGCTTGTTTTGAGGGCATCCTGAAGCCCTCAGGCGGGCTGCGACCACCCGGCAGCGTTGAGCATTTGATCTTGAGTGTATGACTGTTTCGGGTTTTTTCTTCCTACTTTGATCTCTGCATCCACCCAGCTTCAATACAGCTTAGCTCTTATCGCTGGCAGGCCAGAGACCAGGAGCATCAAGGCCATCTCTCACAAATTCATAGGCAGGCTGCTCTCCCCTGGTCACTTTCAACATGTAATCCATTGCAGATTATTACATATTATTGATCGGGTGCTGCATTTATTGCGAAAGAATGGTTTTCCTTAGGAATCTCGAGGTTAGATGATTGCAGATTTGACATTTTCTGAGCAACACAAGCGCTCGTTATGCCTCATTTCCAGCATTGAGATATAGATATATTGGTCACATGACTTAAGCACAAGATAAAATTGATTCCTAACTGGCATAAAATCAAAGGCAAAATCAGTAAATTGGGGCTACTCGGTATTAGATTTTATAGTGGAAAAAAAAAATTAAGAAGCAACGTTGTTTCCGCTTGTTACCGAGGTTCCAGATGTTAATCAGCTTGTCGCTGCTCTGGAAAGGCCAGCAGGTCATAATATCTAATTCACAGATAGCCGGGGAGCCCTCTGGGCCGCTCCCTTAATCTATCTGATGATTAGAATTCCTGCGGTACTTTGTAACGCTTCGCTTTGTAATGTTTTCTAGTGTTGTGAAATCGAGAGATCGGAAAAAAAAAAATTTCTTCAAGAACAGGCAAATAAAAATCCCCGCTTGGCTCCGGGAGATTGACCAGTTTGATTTTAGTGGACTTCCTCTGTAGAGTTGTAATGATAAACAGCGACTTTTCCAACTGATCAACACGGAGGTGGAAGAATCATACTTGGATCTTTTTTTTTTTCTTTTTTTTTTACGGTGGAGGAATGAGTGTTTTTTGCAGCATGAACGCTGGAAAATCTCCCAAACCTGAAGGAAAAGACTCCAGATGTGTTTACAGGCCCAAACCATTTTTTTCTAACGGAACAGTTGTTTTTATTTTCCCTCTCTGAAGTTTTCGGACAGTCACTTCTTCCACTGAGTGACGATCCCTGTTAGCGTGGCCTGTACTGCCCCCCTCTGGCAGCACTTGTGCATTTCCCTGAATCAAGTCAGTCTAAATTTCCACATCTTTTCCCCTCAGCTTTTTCTTTACACCTAAGAAGAATAAAAGGCTTCTAAAGTGTCAAAAATATGACAAAACTCTTTTTTGATAAACTCCAGAAGGCATCCTTTTCTTTTGTCATTTCTAGCTCTGCCACGGTTAAAAATGAATAAATAAAAACTCTGGGCCTTTCACTCGACTCGCCGTGTGGGAAGTTTTCACCAGAGACTCCTCGTCTGAGGAGTTGTGATCAAACCTTTGCACGCGGCGGTAATCGGTGAAAGCCCGGCCTGCTTTTGTTTCGGATTAAGGGAGATAAGAGCAGTAATTTTTCCCCTTGAACATGTAAATCCTCTGAAGCTGTGCTTGACATTACGCAATCCGCCGCCAAGACTTGCATCTCTGAGACTCCAGTCGAGTTGTTTTTCAGGGTCGGGGCCGTTGTTTAGTCTTTTTTTTATTATTTAATTTAGAGTTCTCGAGACTTGTTGACACATCCCAGACAAAAAAAACGCGACTTGTTTTTTTTGTCCCGTACAAACCTCGGTAATCCATTTTAAACACTCCACGAAGCTGCGTAAAAACAGAATCTCCCACCAGGTCCACCTCCGCTGAAGATCACCTTAAACAAACGCTTGGTTTTCGGAAAAGCAATCAGCGGAATCCACTCATCGTCCACTTAGCTGCTCCCTCTCCAAAAGCTAACAGCAGACAGTCGCTGAAAAGGATTAGAGCCTCTAATTGTGGCTGCAGGTGAATCCTTTGGGGAGTCTGCGTTTCAGATGAGCTCTCTGCCCCGTCAGGACCAACAAAGCAGAGACAAAAAGGGCAGAATGTCCACCCCAAAGTCCCAAATCGACGCGTCAAGCACCGGAAAATGCCCCTTTTCAGACGTTTACCCAGAACTAAAGTCAGAATACGAACCTAAGACCTAGTCCTTAACAGTTCAGTTTCTACTGGAAGTCTGAATTTACTTTGAAGTGGCTGATGGGAGTTAAGTGGGTTTCAGCTCCCTGATTAGAAATGATATTCGGGTGCTTATTCAGCTCAGTGGATCAGGGCTTTGTGCAGGAAAAGGATTAAATCCCCCAAAACGGCGACATGTCACAGATGCCAGGAATGTTTACATTTGAACCGTCGCCCCAAAATTAATTAGTCTTTCTTTAATTTCTGCTTTTAAACTTCTTTGTAAAGCACTTTGTACACCAAATCTGCTGTAAAAATGAAGTGGCCTAGCCTGGATCCAGCTGCCATGTCAAAGAATCCACATTCAAGAGACCTCCGCTATCCGTCCATCGCAAAGCATCTCTGCTTTTCTTGGAAGAAGAAAAAAAAAGAAAAAAAGAAAATGATTCTCCGCAGGCTGTTTGAAGAGGAGCGAGCGGCTCAGGGGGACGGAGCGAGAGGCTGAGAACTATTCGGGGGGGGGGGGGGGGGGGTTTCTTTGGGGGTTGTGGGGGGCTCAACGGGGGGTGGCCCATATGGGGGCCGCTCTTCCCCCCCTTGAGAGG